GGGGGCTTGTTCCAAAGGGCCGGAGCCGCCACAGAGAAGTCCCTCCCCCGGGTAGTGGCCAGATGACATTGGCTGGTAGACGGAACCCGGAGGAGGCCTAATCTGTGTGATCTAATGGGTCTTTGGGAGGAAATTGGCAGCAGGCGGTCTCTCAAGGTGCCACAAATGCTTGTTCTACGCATGGTTACTAGCATGCCTGTCTAAGATGGCCAGGTTATGCTGTCATGACATGAAATCCACACTGTGTACTTAGTTCAGGAAACATTGGGCCAAAACGTTGATAATCTCTTTGGAAGTATTTGTTTTTGTACTGTATTTGGCAAGTTTCCACTCCTTTTGCCTTTGTTGTATTTTTATATGAGTAATTCTTCTGAATTATGCTGTAAGCAAGCTTGTGTGCTTATGTGTGTCATAAGTGCTATGCCAGCACTTTTTTTTAGATCAGTTATTTTTACCATGTTTGGTATAACCATGGTGCACTCTAGCTGATTGGTATCAACCTAGCATACTCCAGATATTTGTCGCTACAATTTACACCAGAGGTAGCCAAAGGGACTAACAGTCATGGTTGATGTGAATTGTGATCTAAAGAAAGATGACTGGGTCGGGGAAAGCAGATGGACCTTATCTGGCTAGCAGCTGTTTTGATTCATTGTTCGCAAAATGATTGACTGCCATTTGTTTGTGACGTACAGCATCTTCTAGAGCCTTCCAATTATCGTTGTGGCCATATGACAGTAACAAGGACGTGTTTTATATATCCTGAATTACAGCTGGGTGAAACATCATGAAAGGGCCTAAGAGTGCTTTCTCAAGAGAGCTTCCTTGTATGCATCATCTAGGTACATTTATGTGCTCCCAGCCACCCAAAGAAGCTTGGAAAAAACCAAACACTATCAACACTTCTCTATTTGGAGTAGCTTTCTGGCAGAGAGTTTAGAAGCTTTTAATAGGATTTTTTAATTAACTCTGCTGTTCTGTAATGACATTGTCTATTTCTCATTGCTATGGGCCTTTATAGTGAAATGAGTTACACATTTTACATATATTTTTTTTAATTCTAAGCAATATGCTATACAGTATAGATATACTGGTGCCAAAGCAACCTTACAACGCAGAAGCAGAGACTCCCAAGATCCAAAGAAGAGATGATTTAAGGCTTATAACAGGCTTAAAAGTGTTTTTTTACATGCAATTCTTTGTCCAAAGAGGCCAAGATGGTATAATTTGAAATTGGACAACATTTTAAAAGGCTGGGGACCATAATTACGCCACCTAACTTATCATCAAGCATCTATTCCTGAATCCAGAATAGTCTCAAATCACACTCCTTAATATTTAGATGTTTTGCTAGGGTATTTCACTGTCAACATTTCAGGGCAATATGAATGCACATATAGCACATGTAAATTAGACAGATGATATAAATTAGACAGCAAGAGGGACAAAAAGACATACTGATTCCTTCATTCAGTTTGTTATAATAACCTTAGAAAATTTAGGGCTAATATCTGAGCTGCAAAAACAGCAAATAATTTTCTGTATACATTTGGAACCGCCTAATGCTGTTTTCTAGCCCAAATATGCTAGAATTGGGGGAAAATGAATACTGTAGTCAAAGGTCACCCTGTTAGATTCATAACAGACTAAATGTTAGTCTGATGCTCCAACCACCATATCCCATAATTTTCCATCCTCTCCTCATCTTCTAAGCCTCTAAAAACTCTTCTTAAAGAGCAGCGGGGTGGGGGGGGGCAATCCTAAAGTGGTATTTCAAGGATATCATAAGTGTATCTTTTATTCAAGAATAAGTCCTTTGAAGTTCAGTGGGATTACTTCTCAGTAATAAATAGAGCACTGTATCCTCTGACATAAATAAGGGTCAAACCACGTTTGCAGTGTCACATTCTCACACATGCCCCTTTGCTGAGGGAAAAAAAAATCCAAAACTAAGAACAAAACCTTCTTCTGTTCGAGAAACATGGAGTTTATCATCCTGAAGGTAGAAATGAAAGCTAAAATATAAATTTTATGAAAGAAAATAGCTGGGGAGACAATTCCCAGATACTCAGCCTAATGTAACTGTTCCCCAACATAAACCAGACATTGTCAGCTTGTTGAGGACGGCATGGGTGAGGTGTAGAGAAGGGGGGGATATTTTTTTTTGCCTCATTTGTTGATCTGGACACATTAACTAATTCTATATCTCTTAATTGCATATGGGGTGAGGAGGATACTAGCTATTCTTTTCTCTTAGGGATTCTGTAGCTTCCTTCATTCTCCACTTTTCTCATATTACAGAAAGAAGGTAATTTTTCCTGGCCATTTACTAAAGCTCATTAATGACCAAAGAGAACAAACACTGCTTCTCCTCAGAGGCTACCATTCAGCCTCACACTGCAATTCTCTGTTCTAATACTTGAGACATATTAATTATTCCTTAGTGAAAAGTGCATAATTCCTATTCTTTATTTCATTGGAGGGCTGGGCTGGAGACTAATAATAGGAAGTTTCTCTGAGTGAAAAGCTGTCTATGCAGCCAGGGAAATGAGGGGGAAAATGTGTGTTCTAAAAGGAATAATAATTTGAGGGATATTAATGTCGTTCTAAAGAAGATTGCTTTCAAGTAAACACTGGGGCTGAGTAAATCTGTTTTATTTATTAATCATTCCAAAAGTTCATTCTTTTAAATGATCAGCTTCCCTGCCACATAATGGGTTTAGTTAAAT